GTGAAGACCATGCAGTGTTATTTTACATTTGATTATTCAATTTCTGTACCTGAATACTGTTAGACTTGCCTAAAAAAAAATATAAAGCACTGTTTATTTTATTTGTATCTTTGTTCTATTATATTTATCTATGCTTGTAACTTGTTTATTTTCTATGCTGATTTACTTGTCTACAAAATCACCCCAATCATTGATTATTTATTTTTCAAATAGAGCTAATCAAGTCATCTGGTGATTTTATACATACATACATACATACATACATACATACATATACACATACACATACACATACATACATACATACATATACACATACACATACACATACACACCAGAAAAACAAAATATCGCAATGTGAGTTTTTTTTCCAATATTGTCTGTGTGTAATTACTTAACTGTAGCTATGTTTTCATCCACCTATTTTTATGCGCATTTTTGAATATTGCAGGAAAAAAACGCTGGATGGAAACACCAAGATGCGCATAAACTTATGCGCACATTTGAGTAGGAAACTTTTTATCCAATAAGAAAAAATGCGCATAAACTACAATGGAAACACATTTACAAAATTTATTCCTCCATGCGCATCAAAAGTCATGTGACTTTTCGCTATGACACAGGATAACTTGACTAGCAGCGGACCGATCTCGTTCACAGCATCTATTTATGGTCATTCTGAAATGCCTGAGCAAAGCCGGTCGTCAAACTATTTCTGTATAATTGTCTTGCACGACTGCGTTCCCAAACAGCTGGCATCCACCTCTGAAAGCAATGACTGCATTGTTTCATCTGCTCGCTCTGTGGCGCAAGTAATTTATCATATAGGAAAATTATTACTTTCAGTAGCTTCTCCTAGTTTTCTTAGTGATATTTAGAGCAAGTTTATCAGGAAGTGACGGTTTTGTTCTCTTTGACTCGTTGGATGGAAACGGTGCTTTGTTCAAAAATGTTTTGTGACATTCCAGTTTTGCGCACAAGTTAAATTCAAATCTTTGGATGGAAACGCAGCTATTGACACTTAGGGACAGTGGCAGGGCTATTCTGCATTTACACACCAAGGCTTTTTTTTTTTTTTTTTTTTTTACTTGCCTGTGAGAGAAATGCTTTTGTTTTAATAATCTTGACTCAACTACTTGTTCACTTCAACCAGATTGTAGACAAAGCCCTTGAAGAGCCGAAGTATAGCTCGCTATATGCTCAGCTATGTCTGCGTCTGGCAGAGGATGCTCCAAACTTTGATGGCCCATCAACAGAGATCCAATCATCACAAAAGCAGAGCACTGTAAGAAATTCCTCTATTCATTTGCAAGAAGCTTCACAGCACAGAGTACTGTGTTGGGATATTTATTCCACTTTTTCGTCATGCTCCTACAGACATTCAGGAGACTTCTGATATCCAAACTTCAAGATGAATTTGAAAACCGTGCCAGAAATGTTGACAGTAAGTAGACCATGGACGTGTTAACATTATTACAGCAACTATACAGAATTGCCAGTTATTTACTTGGTTCTTGTGTTTGTTTTTTTTCTACCAGTCTATGATAAAAATGACAGCCCTCTCACCTCTGAGGAGGAAGAGCAGCGTGCCATTGCCAAGATCAAAATGCTGGGCAACATCAAATTCATTGGAGAACTTGGCAAACTCGATCTCATTCACGAGTCCATCCTTCATAAATGCATCAAAACAGTGAGTTATTCATAAATCCTCCATTGAAATATTCATGTCGGCTACTTGATCTCCAACCCAACGATGTTGCATTTGAACTCTCCTAATTGAAGCTTCTGGAAAAGAAGAAAAGAGTCCAACTTAAGGATATGGGGGAGGATTTGGAGTGCCTCTGTCAGATAATGAGAACTGTGGGGCCAAGACTAGATCATGAGAAAGCCAAGGTAAGCTGCTTTAAGACTAGCAGGACTTTGGGTGCATTAAGACGTTGGTATTTCCTAACACCCCATTGTCTCACAGTCTTTAATGGATCAGTACTTCGGCCGTATGCGATCCTTAATGAACAACAAGGACTTGCCTGCTAGGATTCGTTTCCTGCTTCAGGATACCGTGGAGTTGCGAGAGAACAACTGGGTGCCTCGGAAAGCTTTTATTGATAATGGACCTAAGACTATCAACCAGATCCGTCAGGATGCAGTAAAGGTGAGACCCAGCCAATTATCGTTTGACCTTTTAGAGTTATGGATTTGCCGTGTAAACATTAAAAGTATTTGAGTGCATTAACATTGTAACTCGTTGCCTCTATGTAAAATAAGATATTTTGACATTGAAATGGGCCATTTGCACAAGTCATGCAAATCTGAGGACTTTTTATTTTGGGAGGGGGTGAGTTATGTGATATCTGAATATATCAGTTAGTTGTTTTATGAGAAAAATTTGTGTGTTCATATTTGGATTTTACTGTTTATAAGAACCAGCCTTTTTCAGTGACCGTTTCAGAAATCTTTCCACTTGAGTTTTCATAAACTACATTCCGACTTGTTGGCCAATTTAGTATTACTATAAAATTAAAAAAATATATAATTTATATTAGGGATGCACCGACGTATCGGTCGCAGATATTTATCGGCCAATTTTTGATTATTTTAAAGTAAACCAAACTGTAATTTTGTGCTGTGTTCGTTTACACGTATGCAGCCCATGATACCTTCGTGTTTTAATTATATGCAGCATAAGCAATTTTGTGAGATCAGTTTTATTTCAATACATTGTGGAGCCCTGTGCATTATGGTTTCCTTTTGGGGTCTTTTTTTTGGGGGGGGGGGGGTGAAATTGTTTAAATCGCTTTTTATAGTCATTTTACAGTTTAGAATGTTACCATAGACATTGCTGTTTCAAAGCAACATTGATTCCTAAATATGTAGTTTTATTCTAATATCAGAATTTTCCCAAATTAAACTGCTGATTTCTAGAAATTATCAGCTGACAAATTCACTTTTTAGCAGTTTTGAGGTTTATAGGTGTGAAGCAAATTGTCTGTTGCCTGAAAAGGCTTGTAGACGCTTGCAGATATGGAAATCTGATGTCTTTTGTTTTTTTTCCTTTGTTCCTTGCAGGATTTGGGTGTTTTTATTCCACAGATGACTCAAGGAATAAGGACTGACTTCTTTCAAGAAAGTTCTTTCTTGCCGACGAGAATGAAACCTGATCGAGAAACTCTTGGGGGATTAGCGGATATGTTTGGGCAGATGCCAGGTATGTCCTGAAGTGCGTTGACATTTCTGGGACAGGTGGTGCATGACTGGATTTGCTCTATAGTTCACTGCCAGCTTAATAACTCTTGTCTGGTTATAGGCAGTGGGATTGGTACTGGCCCTGGGGTCATTCAGGACAGGTATTCCCCCACCATGGGCCGTCGCACAAACCCTCTTTTCAACGGTCACGGTGGCCACATGGCCCCTGCACCCCAGCCTTTCATGAAATCCAACCAGGTGAATGTCCAACTACCAAATAACTAATGCTTCAGGACTTCAAAATATTAGTGCAAATTACAAGTGTTTTTGTTCTGATCAAAGGGGCAGAATCTGCTTTTCCAGAGCCAGACTCATTCATCTCAACAGCAAGCTCAGTCCAAGGATATGCCGCCACGTTTTAAGAAAGGACAGCTGAATGCTGATGAGGTATGAATGATTTAAATTTCTGATGATGAACATTTATTGTTATTGTCATAACTGGTGTCAACATTTCAGCAGTTTAGACCAGTATCGGTACAAATTTGTACTGAAAAAATTGAAAATACTGTTGAAGACTTAAAACAGTTAAATTACAACAAAATAAAAATCCAATTTTAAGCCAACAGTGTCAAGGTCCCTAGGGATTATCCATATTAGGGATGTCAACGATTAATCGATGATCAATTAATTGTCGATAAGAGATGCAATCGATTAAATCTATCAATGGTCGATTAAGCTATTTAATTTTGGGCTGCGTGCGGCTCATGTGCAAAACACGTGTGAGCGGCTGTGAGTGACGGCGTTTAAATGCATCATCATTCATAATGTACAAATTAAGCTTTTAATGTGATTTAAACTTTAAAAGTACATTAAAATAGAAACAACACAAAGTTCTTCAACATGGAAAGCAATAGAAATGTAGTAACTAAGTCATTTCCCCAGATAATTGTTTCATATCGGGCTCTGCGCTTTGCAGGACAGATATAGGCTATTCATTCCTACAACTTGTTAATTTGTTCCTAGGGCTGGGCGATATAGCTGAAAATTGTATCAACGATTTAATGTTTCATATCGTTCGGTATCGATAATTATTGACATTTTTTATAACCTTAAAAAAAAAAAAAAAAGAGCAATAGAAAAAAAACGGTTTAAATTTAACCACTGTATTTTTAAATTAACCCAATTTATTGAGACAAACAACAAATTTTTTTTTTTGTTTAAACAGTCAAACACAAAATAAAAAGTATGGCGTGCTCTCTTCATTTTATCAAATGATCATAATCACATCTATTAACTTTATAATCCTGATACTAGCATTTTATTCAGACTAAAACCCCTTTAAATCGGGTGAGAGGTTTTTTTTTTTTTTTTGAGTGGCTTTTGCACATCCCGTCATGTCGTGCTGCTGCAATAGACGCATTTTGCAGCATTAAGGTTAACGATTAATTGATTGTTAATTAAACGACGATCGATCATGGAAATGATCGAAAATTGACATCCCTGATCCATATAAATGAATTATTATTATTATTATTATACATCCAATATTTTTTAAATTCTTTTTATTTTATTTTTTACTGTACACAGTGTGCCATCCCGTCATGTCGTGCTGCTGCAATAGACGCATTTTGCAGCATTAAGGTTAATGATTAATTGATTGTTAATTAAACGACGATCGATCATGGAAATTATCGAAAATTGACATCCCTGATCCATATAAATGAATTATTATTATTATTATTATTATTATTATACATCCAATATTTTTTAAATTCTTTTTATTTTATTTTTTACTGTACACAGTGTGTGTTCTGTTATCTGGGCTTAATTTAAAAGAAAATGTTTTTGGTATTTTTGGACAAGGGATGACAAATGTTTTTTTCATATTTCAGGTTATCAAAGTAAAAAAAAAAAAAAAACTATTTTTTTAAAAATTAATTTTTTGCCTTAAGTGTTCACACAGTGTGCGTTCTTTATAGTCTGATTTTAATTTGAAGAGTTAAGTGTTTTTGAAGTGTTTTTCATCGTGTAGGATTAATGATGACTAAAATTATTTTCATATTTTAGATCAGCTTGAGACCTGCTCAGTCATTCATTCTGAACAAAAACCAAATGCCAAAGTTGCAGCCGCAGATACCTACCATGATTCCTCCTAGTGCTCAACCTCCACGCACATCCACACCTCCGCTGGGACAGGTAATGTGTACTGTAGTTCATGCATAGGAACAAAATGCCATATTTCTTATATTTAAGGTGCATTTAACCCTTTCTATTGTTTGTAGCCACCGCAACTTGGCCTGAAAACCAACCCACCTCCAATTCAGGAGAAGCCACAGAAGACGACTAAGAAGCCACCTCCTGCTAAGGAGGAACTGCTTAAGATGACTGTATGTTCCAATTAATATCTTATTGAAAATGGTTCAATGAAACTTTTGAGTGAGCGGTTCCTTCAATTTGTTTGCAGGAGAATGTTGTGACCTCTTTCTTGAGCAGCAAAAACATGAACGATGCAGTGAATGGGGTGCGAGAGATGAAAGCTCCCAAACACTTCCTGCCTGAGATGTTGAGTAAGATGATCATCTGCTCACTGGAGAGCCCAGATGAGGACCGAGAGCATGTCAGCACCCTGATCAACACACTCCGGATGGAGGGACTGGTCACGGGGGAGAATTTTATGAAGGTTTGTATACACTTTGCACCAGTGAAGTTCATCCTCGCAGCATCTAGACTGAAATGGGGACTCATCATTTCCTCAAATGACATCTTTTTACAGGCTTTCCTCAGTGTTCTGGACCAGTGTCCCAAGATCGAGTTGGATGTTCCCTTGGTGAAGTCTTACCTGGCTCAATTTGCTGCCCGGGCGATCATTGCTGAGCTTGTGAGCATGGCAGAGTTGGCCCACCCACTGGAGAACGGCACCCACTTTCCTCTTTTCCTCCTCTGCTTGCAGCAAATGTCCAAAATGAAAGATCGAGAGTGGTTAACCGACCTGTTCCAGCAGAGCAAGGTCAACATGCAGAAGATGCTGCCAGGTTTGTGCTTCTGTTTCCTCCCTGTATGGTCATACTTGCATGCCTCTTTAATGTTTGAGAAGTTTAAAGTTAATCAACTAAACGTTAGTATGTATTTATGCTTTTAGAATGGTTGACACATCTACAGTTTACATCAAATGAACTACAAATAATGTTCAGTGAAGTTTTGTCCATGCGTCAACTGAAAACAGCATAGACTAAAAGATCTCCCTCCATCAAAATAAAAATCGATTAGTGTGGAGTTGGTCAACCCAGACCTAGCATCCACACAGTTGATGTTTATCCAAGTGCTGTGCACGAAATAGATGTTGACGCAGTCGAAATGTGCCATTTGGTTGAAGCACTTATTAAATGTTACCATTACAAACACTGATTTTTGGCCCTCTCATAATTGTTTTGGACTAATTTTCAGTTGCCAAAATTGTGAAATTGACAATTCAGTTGCCAGATTTGTTAAACGCTAACAAATCCAGTTAAATTTTTTTTTTTAAATAGAACATTAATGTGAACTTTCCGTTTTTGGTATTCTGGTCTGGTCTTCATATATTCCTGTCTCTACCAACAGAAATAGATCAAAACAAAGATCGTATGTTGGAGATTCTGGAGGGGAAAGGCCTGAGCTTCTTATTCCCTCTGATGAAGCTGGAAAAGGAGCTGCTGAAACAAATTAAGGCAGATCCTGCCCCGCAAACCATCTACAAGTGGATCAAGGACAACATTTCTCTAAAATTGCACACTGATAAGGGTTTCGTTAACATTCTGATGACCAGGTATGATGATGGACCTGATGGCTGAAACGTTTCTTGTAAATGGATTGAAAGTTTGTTATATGGACACTTGGTTAACCCTCCCAAAATTCGTCTAGCTTTTTGCAGTTCATTTTCCACGAGATGTTCTTCACTGAAGGAGACGACCAATTATCTGCACCTACGAAAGAGCAGCTCGACCAGGAAAAGCAGCTGCTACTTGCCTTCAAACCGGTGATGCAAAAATTCCTGCATGATCACATGGACCTGCAAGTCAGTGCACTCTATGCGCTACAAATCCACTGCAACGCCCATGCTTTTCCCAAAGGTACGGCTAAAAATCTTCTGACTGTAAATTATGATAATTCCCCCAGACTTGAAGGAAGGTTTGTTTGTTTCCCTTTTAGTTCCTTTTTGTTTTTTTTTTTGAGAAAATAATTAGCCCCCCCCTTTTATTTAAAGGTGGGATAAGCGATTTCTGGTAGCCAATGTTGACATTTGAAATCACCAAAACAAACACGCCCCTACCTCAAAAGGGTCTCGTCCCTATTTTGATAGCTCCGCCCCACACATACATACACAACCCAGGCAACGATTAGTTCTGTGAAACAAATGTTCGATCGCAGGCCTTCCGCTCCTTGAGTTCTCTCCAGCGCTGGAAAGCTGATCCGATATCTACACGGGTCCTACTTCTTGCCTTAAGCCTTCTTTTGTGCCGCAGACATTTTCCTCTTTTGTTTTTTTTATCTGCCATCTCTATCTTTCTGTCGCTCAGCTCGCTAATGTGAGCACTGAACGCTCTCTCTGCCACATCATGAGTAGACACGCCCCTTACTGCTGATTTGCTACAAGTTTGTTTTGCAAGTCGGCCCGAATCGGTTTTCTGAAGCGTTTTTGAAAAATCGCTTACCCCACCTTTATTTAATCGTAATATAATTATGATCATTGTTATCCACCCCAAGACTTTGAGAATTATTATAATATAAATTAATAATTTAGTAATTTTATTTAATTATTTGTGCATTAATAATCCCCCCAGACCTGGATGATTTAATACCATGGTTTATTAATAAATAAAAAATTATATTTATAATAATAATTAATATTATTAAATGTATATATTTTAAATAATACAGAATGCTTGAAGTCATTTAAATTCATTGACTTAAGATGTGGGAACCTTGGAGTTTGTTTACCAAGACTTGGAATTGAAGTAGTCCGAGGAAATGCTCGTTTTCTCGTTTTTAACGGTCCCTTATCTCCTTAGGAATGTTACTGCGCTACTTTGTCTACTTCTATGATATGGAGATAATAGAAGAAGAGGCCTTCCTAGCGTGGAAAGAAGATATTACACAGGAGTTTCCAGGGAAAGGAAAAGCATTGTTCCAGGTAATTATCCTATTGCATTAAACAGTTTCACACCATTTCTTTGAAAGCCGTCTTTCTCTTTTCCCTGTTTAGGTGAACCAGTGGCTTACCTGGCTGGAGACGGCAGAAGAGGAAGAGTCTGAGGAGGAAGCTGACTAAAGAACCAGCCAAAGCCTTGACGTACTCCCCTCCGTCATCTCTCCCGTTTCGTTTCACCATCTCTCCTTTCACCTGTATTAACCGCCGCACTCCACTCCGTGCTGCTGTTTTTTGCAGTGTCAAGCCAACGTATTATTCACGCTTCTCTTTGGCCTCATTGTTTAAAGCATGCAATGACTAGCATCTGTTCAGAACCACCACAGATAAATGGTATTAGCAGCTTGAAACTGCATCTTTTTTTTTTATATATATATATTTTTCCAGGGGTATAATTATAGTTCTACTCAGGTTTTTTTGTGCAAAACAATAAGGATTCATAAATAAACATAATTTTGGAATTAAACAGACTATTTTTTAGTGAAGTTGGTGAAATTTTTTTATTTCTAATAATACAACCTCTTTAACTGCTGCAAATCATGTTCACATGCAACCAGGTGAGAAACAGACATTGGTTACACAATCTACACGAATGATGCTGACCTTGCGTGTGACTTTTGGGTCTAAATATCCACGTAGTTTCTGGATGTATGTATGTGGAGGATTCTTCACTTGGAAACGCTCCTAACTTAAGAACTTGTATTTGCAAAAGCCTTTTCTGCTGCTGTTCATTTCAGCACAAAACTATAGAAATGCACTTTTGCTCAGTGTCATATTGAGTTGCTGCAATTTTCACTTTTGTTTGTTACAAAGAATCCTCAGTTATCATTGGTTACCATAATGTTTAGCGGATGCGTTGTTCATACCTCGAAGTAGTGGCTTTAGTGTGCTGTGTGTGTGATGGAGTCTAATGGAAAAACTCTCCAGATCTGTAAGGTGCTTGAGTCTGTGAATCAGGAAAAATGGTTTACTTTTTTCAGTTATGATTGTAAAATCTTTTTTTTTTACTTCACCTTTTTTTTTATAATAATGAACAAAGCCATGTGGGAGAGATGAAATCTTTTGTTTTTCTTTTCCCAACACGTCACCTCCACTACTTGTCAAGCTGATACTTGAATTGTTTTTTTGTTTTGTATTTTTCTTTACAGCATGTTCAGGGATTACCAAACATGGTCTGTGTTTAGATGCAACAATCTGATCCAAACAGAAGTGTGTAATTTTTTTTAATGCATTTTAATTGGTAAAATAAAGATGAAACAAGATGAGAATTTGGTATGGATGTTCAATATACAAATCACTGTTTTACAACCCAACAATGTTTTCCCATGATGGATATTGTGCATATTTATTTAATCATGAGGGGGGAAATCAAAGCTTTATCATTAGGTAGGACAACAAATGGTGACCTGCTCGTGTGGTTTTGCTATTTAAAGTGTTTCTGTACGGTGTAAGAGCTCCGACTGTTCAGTGTACCACTGTTGCTTTTAATAAAGTGACACACCAGCATTTATTTTGCCTTATTTCATGTGTGCTTGGGCATGAATATGTGGAACTAAGAACATTTGTCATCAGGCTTGTATTTAATAAATGCCATCCTCCAGTTTAAAATTTAAACCATGATGTACAAATTAATGCTGGATTTAATACAAATTTTTCTGGATTGGGAGTTTATGGAGAAAAATTTCAGCCTTTATTTCGGTTATAGCTGATAACACTAATGGTTACACATCAATGTTCAGTTTCTTATTTTTTTGCTCCAGGCCTGAGCTCTGCTTTTTCCTGAATATCAGTTGAATTCACTGTCACTATTTGTGTTTTTTGAGTTGTGGTTGGCACTGAATGATGACATCGGAAATGAATACTTATGCAGTGATTCATAAACGTCTCTTAATATTCAGGAATGAAGAAAACCATGCTTGCAATCCTTAATTAGAAATGAATTGTAAGAAAATGCTTTGGTTTTAAGAGAATGTACTGTAACGGTATATGAGATGCCCCATAAATGATGCTTTGTAATGTACTTTTTAAAGTTAATTTTTATCTTGTTTTTCTGTAGTTATGTATCTCATTCGTATTGTGAAATGCTTTCCATAGATAGGCTGTTATTGTATTATTGATGCCATGTTGGAAACATTTTCTAATAAAGAATGAAGAAAAAAATCTAATTTGCAGATCAAGTTGCATCTACAGTACAGTTCCAAAATATTTAAGAAATTAATGTTTGTATTTTCAGCAAGTGGCATTAAAGACATTTGGCTGCTGATAATTTATGTTTTAAATAAAAAGCAACCAGTTAGCGGTAGTTCTGTGGGCAAAAATGCCTTGTTGATGCCAGAGGTCAGAGGAGAATGACCAGACCAGTGTTGCCAAGTCCGTGGTTTTCCCGTGGATTGGGCTACTTTAAAGGGGTCCTATTATGCTCTAGTGTGTGTTGTGATTGGTTAGCTGGGCCAGTGTGTGTTGTGATTGGTTAGCTGGGCCAGTGTGTGTTGTGATTGGTTAGCTGGGCCAGTGTGTGCTGTGATTGGCAGCACTCCCTGGTCGGGAAATGTCACGCCCCTTACCATAGCCACCAGCTAGCTTCAGTGTAAATATTGCGTCAAAATCAAATCAATTTGAGCGTGATTTAAACCCAGATGATTGAAACCACTCAAGTTCATCTGCCTTCGGAAAGCTAGCGTGTCTGTGACATAGTGATAACACTCGTTGCCTTCTCTAGTGCAGCTCAACCAGGTGTCGTCCCATTCGTCGATATTTGTGATATCACAAATCCCGGAAAATATGCGTTGTAGTCCAAACGAGTCGTTCGTTGTAGTTTTTGAAAAGTGATTTCTGTTGAATAAAATATCTCCTTTTGAATTGGACTTTGAGCTTTGTGACTTTGCAGATCTTTTTTATGCTCAAACAGCAGCATTACATACTAACTAAAGTTGAAAAAGCATAATAGGACCCCTTTAACATTGTTGCCGGGGGTTGTTTTTCATGTCCGCGGGTTGAAGCGCACCCAATAACGTGATATTCAGCCCCTGGAATGCGAACTTTACAGGAGGAACCCCGCTGAAAAACATGTTTTACCCTCCAGGAACGCGATTTTTAGTGAGGAACCTCCTCTTGAAACGCGATTGGGCTAGATTTGAGTAGCAATTGGACGGGTTTTGTTGTGAAAACCTGGCAACCCTGGACCAGACTGGTTCAAGCTGATGGAAAGGCAGCAGTAACTCAAATAACCACTTGTTACAACAGAGATATGCAGCTTCTCTGAACGCACAACAATATCATACACTACTCAAAAAATGAAGGGAACTCTTAAATCTCAATGAACAAAATATTCCTAGGGTAGGTCTACTTGTGATCTTACAAGGGTAAATAAAGAACTAGGGGCCGTTGCATAAACAGTTTAGACTAGCCTTAAAAAGTTAGAAATCTAATTTTTTCCCTAACTTTTTTAACTCCGTTATGCAAAGGTAGGTCGATCTTCTTTGTATTGGAAAAGTAAGACTGATTACCCCTTGGCAACTGCTAGTTGATCAAACTAGATCTTGAGACAGTCTTAACATGGTTGCTAAAAGTTTACGCAACTCATCCCTGGTTGTTTCAATATGTTTTGTATAGTATTTTCTTTACTCTTTACTTCAAAAGCTTATGTCTGAAAAGGGTCATATTTTATGTATTTGAGGTCTGAGATGTGGGAACGGTGAAGAGAGATGGCAAACATTTTGCATCTAATCAGCCAGTATTGTCTTAAATAGCCTGCATAGCGCTTCATCTTTTATAACATGGGATTTTGACCAAATATATTCAGCCTTGATTTATGTAAAATGCTGCAACAAGAGCTCAGGTCCCACTACAGGATATCGGGCCTTTATCAGGGTTGCCAGGTTTTCACAAGAAAACCCGCCCAATCACTACTCAAAACTAGCCCAATCGCATTTCGAGGGGTCCCCAGTTACAAATCGCGCTCAAGGGGGGAAAATACACGTTTTTTGGCGGGGTTCCCCATCTAAAATTCGCATTCCAGGGGATAAATATCATATTGGAGTCGCTTCAACCAGCGGACATGAAAAACAACCCGCGGCAACAGTGTTAAAGTAGCCCAATTCCGCGGGAAAACCGCGGACTTGGCAACACTGGCCTTTATGTACATATGTAGTAAGAAAATATATTTCATTCGTTGTAATTAACAACGTGAAGTGCAATAGTCAAGGTTTCACAAACTTGGCTTCATAAAGGAAATGCAGTGTGTTTCTGAGTTTAATGAAAAGCTAATAATCAATTAAAGTATAAAAATGTCAAATGAAAATAAATCACTTTAAAATAACATCAAAACACTCACTAAAACAATATTTTCAAATATTTTAATTGTTTACCTACAAGTCATGTAACCATTAACCAATGTCAGAGAAGCGTGAACATGCAAATATAATTCTTAATAATTAAAATAAATATATATTTTAAAATCTCAGGGATACTTCAAGTACACACATATATATATATATATATATATATAGTGAAAGAGGTTTAGAATAGATGACAAAACTGTTTGGGAATGCCTGCATTACTTGTAAATAAGAAATAAAATGAATTTGTGTATTTTAAAGTTTTTGAAAGACAAAAGCCTCCCAATGACATAGAAATACACATAACCTACTAATTCAGATAAACATGAGTAGTTAATGCAGTGTTGAAATGATTTTTGTAAATCCAGTGGTCAAAAGCTGTATAGCCACCTGACTAATGACTGGCCTCTGTTTGAATGTCCACTGGAAGATGGATTTTGTCAATGTATACAAGCGGTAGGCTATTTTAGAAATGAACATTTAAAAGATGAAAAAGAATGGAATAAGGAATTAAGGAGAATCAATAAATGACTAATATCTTATTGCTATTGTAAAAAATTATTGTGATTTTAACAGTAACAACCTGTTAATTGGTTATCAGTAAGTTTCCATACTATATACGGTGAATAACTGTAATTACATTTAACGTAATTTTACAGTAAAATACTGTTAAAATTACGGTTTTTGGAAGTGAAAAAGAAAAAGTCATTGTATCATTTACAGTGAAAAACCATAAATTGACACTCCCAGAATTCCCTGCATGACACTTCATATTTTGTTTTTTTGTTGAAATAACTGTTTCTTCTTAATTTTTTCTTATCGGTTGTGTACATTAGGCTTTTATTTTACATCTAATGTTGTTAAATTAATGTTTATTGAATTATTTCGGTATCATGTGTGTTACCATGATGGGGTTTAGTGTTTGTGTGCATGACACTGTGCACCTTCTATATATATATATATATATATTAATTAGTATTTCCCTTCTCAGCTTGTGGAAGAGCTGTTTGTGATGAGCTTTGGTTCATCATGTGACTTTCTC